AGAAAGTTTGAGACTGGGCATTCGACAGTTGAGAAATGCAGCTGCATCCCTGCACGATGCGTAGACGATCCGAAAAGCCAACCAACGACCTGAAATGGCTGTTTAACTAGCTCCGCGTATGTAGGCCTGCTTGGCAGCATTTGCAGACCTGGTAGCAATTTAGGCCATTTTCTATATGATTAGAATCCGTACTGCATACGATATTTTTCAAGATTTCTTGACGTTATTCTGGAGCTATGGCCGTGTTGCCAGCCCGCATTTGCAATATGCTAACGTCAAAAAAAGTTCGACAGACCGCGTTAATTTGTTTGCTACAGTCTAATTGACTGTAAAATTGTTGCGAGAACGTAAAGACGAACAGACATGAATGAAACCACTTCAACCAAAACTGAAGGACAGCATAATTTCATTACTGATCGATATTCCTTTAGTTCGATTGCTTAAATTGGGGCAGCTTGTTTCTATTCACTAGCAGCGTTTGCTTGGCTCTTTCAACCATCGACGGCTTTTGGTACACCGCCACTTTTAGAAACAAGTCATCATCCGTAAAGAAACTTCAATCGTCCAACGAACAGCGCAATCCATCTAGGCCAATGGCATCCTTTTGATGAACTCGGCCGAGAACACGAGCACATATTGAGCACATGTTGTAGGCATACAAGTACAAACGTATCTACTAGGGACTCTCAAGTTATTATAACCTCCGTACTCACGCTTGGCCACTAATCGCTTGTACTTCCTATAGCTTGTGAGGTCAGTACCCGGCCACGAGCATAACTGATGCTGTTTTGTCACTTTCTCCAATTACGCGCTGACATTCGCCGCTTCAGATTATGCCCGACAGAGATGGTACAAGATTAGTTCGCATGGCTTGTCTCCGGGCGTCGCCCTCCGGGCCTCCTATATATATGCGGTCCTTGACCGGCTTGCCGATGCCGTCCTCAGGTCACGCTCAAATATTGCCTAGAATACTACTGATATTACTGCGCGATTGACGGCTACTTGGTGACCTGTTCAATTTAGCTGCAGTAAAAATATGTCATCCTATCGCTTCTCCTCTGCTCACTCGCTCGTTCATGGATAGCGATCGAGTCTGCAGCGAGGTGCTGACGCCTGTCAACGAAAGCGCCTTTTGTCGCCAACGTCGCTATCAGAACCGCTTCGTTTCTGCATTCTGTTTGCATGAAAGAGCACGTATGTTTGTGTACTAGGTAATGGTAAAGTGCTAAAGTAGCTAGTCGAACCCCAACGGAATAAGGTGCAGAGGACAGCACAATTTTTCGTTAACCGATTGAACAGTAACAAGACTGGTGTCGTCGACTCATCGGTTGCCGACTATGGGAGCGGGCAAGGTATTGTTTCTGGCCAGTAACAACGAATATCGTGACAACAAAAAGGACGAGACCGAGCTTAAATCCAAGATGGTACTGCTCTATAACCTTATTTCAATAGCACAATTATCGTAGCAATACTGCTAAAGCGGTCACATATTGACACAGGTTAGTTGATAGCCCATCACCATAGAAAAGCAAGTTGCGCCGACCACATCTACGTATTCTGCCACGAACAAGCTCGACGCGGGGGTCGCCTTCACCGCCGCAGGCATACGACACTGCAGATACCATGTGACTGGGCAATAAATCGTTCAGAGATACAGGCAAAAGCTAGCCAGTTGAATTCAACGACGAACAATAGTGTATCCGATAGGCCTAAATGATCGTGTAACTGGCCGTGTTGCTTGTTTGATTCGTTAATTAAATCGTTAGAGGTAATCTATGAAAGGCAAAGGAAAGGAAACAAAAACAAGGAGAGGGAGATTCCATTTGCTCACGAAGTCTTCGTTGTCAACTGGTGTTCATAGTGAGAATGCTCGTAATAGACAGTAACAGATGGCAGAGTACTGATAGAAGTTGACCGTTGGCTGGTGAATGAACTTCTCTTTTATGTCAAATATAATATTTACGCGAATAGTCTCTACAGGTCTTTTCTGTCCGGTTCAGTGACTGGGAAAACAGTGCTACACAACAGATTTCGAGTGCGTCCGGTGTGGTCTTCAGTGTACCTTTGACCTTCTTCATCGTGGATTCATGTATAGATTGAATGGTGGTCAGATCATTCGAACATCAATGGGTACGTTATCGTCACGCACGATCGTGAAGAACGCCTGCGTGAACAATCTGACAACGAAAGAATACAATTTGCACGAACTGTATTCTGTCCATAAAATCAAGGTTGTATTAGAAAAGGGAGCGGTAACATTGAGAACACTCGCTTAGTTCCAACGTGCCAACGCGCTTGCAACTGTAGATTTAGATATACGTATATATATATATATATATATAGGTATGTTTTATCTGGAACATACATACATAGTTTCAAGTAACTGTATTGTTATTCAACTACTTGCTTAAACCGTTTTCACTTCGAAGAGGTTCGTTTTCACTGCTTCGGTCTGATAGGAAATCCGCCAGACCATTTTACTTGCGTACCCCGTGGAAACTTAAAGTCCAATTGACTGATTGATATAGCCAGTAATAGTTACAGGCGAGATACGGAGACATCTAGCCCTCTGATTACAAACTTGAAATAAAAGTTGAAGTCTATATATGTCTCCATAAAATTGTGGTTCCAATTATATAATGTCTTGTTATTGGCGTCAATGCAATGCTACAGCTATCTGCTTACTATAGCATGCCACTAGCCCGTCTATCAAAACATATTCTATGAATGATTTCAACTTTAGTAAAGAGGAAGTTATCTGCTTTGCTGATGATTGCCTGATCTAAGTTGACTGGTACTTGTTGTCACCTTTTTACCACATCAGCCGGAGTGGACGGTTCCTACTTACCAAGTAAGGCTTCTAGAACCGTAAAGGCTCGAAATAAGTCAGCCCTGAAGAGGCAGCTCGATCATACTTTTTCGGTATCCAATCAAATCTGATTGTCTGGCAAGGTCGCTCGACAGTAATAGCCACTGATAGCAGTTAACGCGCGACGCTTTCACAGCCCCAGTATATATGTGCTTCTGTATTATGTGGAGGAAAATTCGAAATGCATCATTCCATACTAATTGTTAGAATCCAGAGTTAGGTTTGATTCCCCTATATTATACGCTGCAAAATATATCTCTCTCTTTCTTCAAGCATCACCTTGTACTTGTCCGTCTCATGAATAGCTAGGACTGCCAGCACATATATGTATGCTGAAACAGCCGATTCACTGTGTACGTCCTGCAAACGGACACACATGACCTGTTCATCGATCCTCACTCGTAAAAAAAAATACTGCGGACTTCTCTGTTCAGACGAAGTTCCTTTTAATCACTATATCAAAAACGGCTTTTGAGCAATTTTTGTGATATTTCAAACTTTTTAAATTTAGATCTCTAGGTCTGCCTTAGATTTGAAAAAATTAGCCACAGATTAGAAAAACTGGCAATGAATTAGGCTGTCGAATGGAAGTCTTAAATTTTAGACGCACGCCGTGCCACGTCTTTGAACGTGTGGAGAGGATGTTTTTCAAATGGCCTCTCGCGTATTCCAGCGCAATGGCTGCTTACGACTTTTCGAAATTAGGTCTGTCTACTGTTTTTGTTGATATGTAGTTGGCTCTTTTTAGAAAAGTGCAACAAACTCATTGAAAGGCGGACCTTTACTGCCAGTTAGGGCCGTTATAAATGAACGGTATATGTAAATCCCTAAATAAAATAGCTAGCGGTCCTGCAATCCAAACACCATTTGTGCTTCGGACATGATCCGCTTATCTTTTAAGTATTCTTTTTGCTTATGTAGCCGTCGCCTGAGCAAATACCCATGAAGAATTCCCTTGCTCAATTTTCGTCCTTCATCAGATAGATGGTTAGGATTACTTCCTTTAAGGTCGTTGTCTTTCGAAAGCATATAAAGTTTACCGGTTTTCCCGTTTGTCTCTAGCTGTTTTTTGTGCGCAGTTGTCTGTTTCTCGTCTCGTTTATGATAGGGTCTAGATAGTAGGAAGGTTAACAAGTAAGAGAATCAAGTCAGACGTCCTTACGACAATTCCTATGAACTGAAACGTAAAAATGCAAATATACTACATTTCGTTCCTCTGCTACACTCGCTTTTATAGTTTTGGGGGCCCCATTACGACTGGGGGTAAGGCTATAAGAAAAACGTGGCATCCATCTTCAACAAACAACCAGTCTTCAGCTAGTTGTTCGTTATTGTTGTGAATATCAACGTATACCTAAAAAGAAAAACTTTACGCTTGACTTTGTGCTCGCTTCTCTACACGATTTTCCTCTTTTTTCTTATGCTCTTCTTTAGAATCTGAGACGAAATTATTTGGCGTGCTCGCCCCATTCGGTTGCATCGATGAACGCGTTATTTTGTTCAGTCAACTTTAAAGCTTTTCACTCACGAGGAGACTTCCGAAAGGATTTTGAAGAAAATATTATAATGGCACACCACTTGCAAATCGTCTTTAATACCCAGCTTACTATGACTTTACTTAGGTTACAAGTCTATGTTCGCTACTGTTAAACCAAGAAAATTGCGAAACCCTAATTATTCCTATAATATTGTAAACGATCAAGCCTTGGTCTAGTACCTACGACTTGTTCCCAGTAGCCCATACATCATGTATACAAGCACAAAGATCGACTGACTGATTACAACCCGAGAAGACTCACGCAAATAGTATCGCATCGCATGCCGATTGACCGAATGAACCTCGTCTTTTTTTTTTTTCGACATTTTGTCCACATATCTACAATGGCTAACGATGAATAGCCGCTCACCATTTAAGTACGAACTGGCTAAATAAATGTATCTATTCATCGATAGGCAAGCTAAGAAAATAGGCACCGGTGCGTCGTGGCTTAAAACAAGCCGGTCGTTGTAACCTTTTGCCTTCGTGTATCCCGATCACCTGTCGTATTGTCCGAGATGGTCAGTATGCGCCACTGAACCCTACCAATAGTTCTCTGTGTATTAATAGCCTAAACGATAAAACGATACTTACAATTCCACCGGTAGGTGGCGCTAGTTTTACATCGTCGTCGCGGCGGTATTTTTGTTGTTGTTATTGTCGCTGCTGAAACTGTTACCAACGATGTCGTCGTTGTATCCATTATTTATCGTAAGGAACACGTGTGGGTTCTAGCCTTAACACGTATTGTCGTTGCTTATCTATATTCTATTATCTTTCACGTTAAATTCTCACTTCACAACTGAACCACGCCACCTCGCCCGATTTGTTTGCTAATACGAGAACAAATTACGATAATTAGAATTATTTGTTGTATTATATCATTACTACCAATATTAACACTTAACAATTTCCCGCACTTTTCACTGCGTAGTCGTCCACGATCATCAGCATCCGCTGACACCAGCAACATCCCATTGGTGACAACAATCTTCACCTACTTCTATTACAGTAATGATAAAAATATTTACTATTATCAATATTACGACGTTGGTAACAACATAACACTTTACGATTCGACAATTTTTGCCCGGCGCTGCCGTTGACACTCACACAAACAAACACAGATTTGTCGATCTTCACGCTTCGTCGAGCAGCTGTTGCAGCATTGCACAGTATTCAATCGTAACTCTGCGATTTCAGGGAAAATTAAAACTGCTGTTTCCAATATCGATAGCGTTCCTAACGTACAAAATGACAAAGGAACCGATCAGTATCGACGGTCTTCATAACCGGTCGTCTCATATTTGCTTACGTTTAAGATGCACTTGTTTCTGTCGTTGTCCTTCAGTAGTCGCTGATGTTATTGGGATCGTCAGTGCTATGTACTTATTATCAGGAATCACTCTTAAATTTTTTTGCTCTTTGCTTGGCTTCCTCTCTGGCGAGACCCTTTCCTGCTCGATCAGATTTTACTTCACGGCCAGCCTCACCTAGAGCTAACGCACAAAAGATAAGGACTTGACTTATTTCGACACATGACGACAATGAAGAAAACGAACAACTTCTACAACGGCTAAAACTACTTCCATCAAACGTTATAGGGCGACACGTGTTTCCGTTTCTACACGGGCCGCGACATCGATACGGAGTGCTGCTGTTGCTGCTGCTTTTTTTCTACCCCTGTTTTCTATCAACAGCAGGGAAAACTGCCACAGAAAGAAGCTTTTCGTCGAGTGCCTGAACCTTCAGCTGGTTCTATAGGATGCACCGATCAAGAACCTGTTCTGTAAGCTAGGACGTCCGGCTGGCAAGGCAGAAAAAGGACGAACAGAGATATCTGCTTCATAATAGCAGATATTTCTGTTCGTAGGTGTACTCACCGGCGCACTTCTGTGAGGTGCCAGGATTTCAAGATGGCTGTCCTAGAAATGGCAACATTTCAGGCCCGTTTTGTCTATTTTCCTTTGCTTTTTTTTGTTCTACGTTTATGCTAGGCGAATAACCTGGACAGGTTATTGTATGACGATCTGCATAACCTTGTTTAGCTCCAATTAACGTTAGCTTCCCGCATATGTTCCCGCGTCGGAATCCAATAGCGAGAGCCGTAGCGATTTTTTTCCAGGCTTTCCTTTCGCCTAGCGTTGTTATTATTATGAGCACCGTTATCAAGTGCACCATAAACTACACACAGGCACTGGTTTCACTTTTGCGATGCCCTCCGTTGTATTTGGTCCACACCAACTGACGACCCCACTACGTTACGTCCATACAGCTTGAATGCCCTTTTACGCTTGTTGTCGTTGGTATTTCTTCGGGCTTCTGTGTTATCCCTTGTGCAGACGGTGCTTCCAGTCACTGGTACGATAGTCGCCAGCCGTTCGTTCTGGACACAGACACCATCCGTTTGCTTTTCCACGCCTTCATGGCGTTGTCTTTAGCGTCTCGTAGACATTAGCTGTATTTCAGCAGTACGCCATCGGCTATTTCTCGGCCGCGTTACCAGTCACCGTTGCCGTATTTCTGCCGCCCTCGTTGATATTGGCGCTGCTGTTATTGATATTGGTAGTAGTGGGTGCTACGAGCAACGGTCCAATGAATACCAGCAAAAAATACCAGTTTGATTTGACTAATCGCGCACCCTTGTGGTGTCCGCCACGCAGGTCTTCACATAACCTAGCTGCAACGCCTGTGTTTTTCTTTGGGCAGAATCGTGTTGGTACTCATAATAGCAGCAACGATGGCGATGGCGATGGCGAAATAGTATATATATATATATATATATATATATATATATATATATATATGCATATATGTATATATATATATATATATATATATATATATATATGCATATAGATATACCTCACATCACAGAATGCTTCCACAAAATGACTATCCGACGCGTTGTTCGTGACAGCATCGGTTTGGTTCAGAGCAACTATTGGCCCCACTGACCGCTAACGATTAGAAGAAGAAGCAGCCTTCGCACAACGGAGGTAACAAAGTCGCGTGTTGTATTGTTCTCTACTGTTGTACGCTGCTTCGTACTGTCCAATACGGTGGCGAAGCTCGATCAGTATTGCACTGCGGTGAGAACTTGGATGTACGCTTTGCCACGGCAAAAAATTACGTTTCCTTGCTCACTAACGGTTCTACCCAACTGCTGGTAGTGTTAGCAGTGACGGTCAGGTGATGACTGCAGCATCTACAAAGACTACGATCTACCACGTTATATAGCGTGTGCTACGAGTAACGGCAGCAAAGAAAGCAAATTGAAGGCGCACCGTTCTTTTTTTCACTATCGCTTGTCATCTGTCTGTTGTACGAGACTAGACCGGTGACGGACCACGACTACGATTACACCCGTTGGCTGTTGTCGACGCCCGGCGGGGGATGGTTGTGTACAAAACGATTAGCTATATACGCAAACGGAGCACGAAACGGCCAGTATCATGCGACAAGGCTCCAGCCTGGACGATGATAATGACTGTGCTCTGATAAGAGGGCTCAATTCGGTGGATCAACGGGGCTGTTAGCGCGTTTAGAGACGAGGCAGCGTCCGGTGGCCGCCACTCGACCATGGACCACCGGCACGGTGAAAGCCGTAAACAGTAACAGGCGTATGCACGCTCTCGAGTCACTGTACACGCACTGGCCAATTGTCGTAGACGCCGCCTTGTAAACGGGCAGGGGCGAATCAGTCAGCGAGTCGGTTGCTTCTCCTCATACACTTGTTATAGCCGACCCCTTTATTGTTTTACCTTCCCGATCACCCTACCTTTTTGCTTATATCTTAGAGCCTGTTCGTTTGACCGTGTGTCTACAGCGTCGGACTGACTTTCTGACTGTTAGCTCCAGCTACGACACCCTGATCGCTGACGGCGCTTGCCTGCAGCCGTCAGAGTTAATGATGTTGTCCTTCTATCTGACGACCCAGTCTGGCTCTCACCGACCTAAACTGACTGAGCAAAACTGAACGTAATAGAATCGAACACCAACAAATAGATCGGCGGTATCTGTGCTAGCTCCGTTACTATCAACGATGCCATTAAAGACGATTATGATGCTGGTGATGTCGTTCTTCCACTAACGACAGCCACTTGTAGTCAGCGATGGCGCCTATCGGTAAACCAATGGCTGATTTGCCAGGGTGCCGGCCGGTAACCAATGCCTGCTTAGTCAATGCTCGTTCGTCGGCATTCGTTTGCTTGCCTACCCACCCAGCAGACAGTGCTGTCTGAGAGGCTAGGGTGACCCGTAATGAAAGTCAAAGAACTGGTCTGTTTGATTTACTTTCCCGCCTCTGCTCCGGCCTAACTTCCTCACACGTAGCTGCTGCTATTGCTGTTGTTATTGGCTCTTATGGCAGCTTGTACTCTCGGCATCTTAGGGTCGGCGGTGGTCGTGGTGACGGCGGATGACATCGCACGGTGGCGACGACGACGAGTTCGGTCGGCAGATGCAGGCGCCAGCAGCAGACAGACGAGTGTGGTCGCAAAGGCGGCTGTACCAATTGACCTCGATGAGTCAACCCTCAAACGTTTGGTACGACACGACAAAGGCAAGACAGGTTGTGAGGTCGACGCCGCTGTTCACGTGGTCCGTTTCAGGAGTACTTTATTATTACACTTAGCTGACCCAGCATAATATTACGGTAGAAAAGAGCTACAGGCGCTGAGCCTTGTCAGGAAGTCTACGTGGCTTCGGTCTATTCGTTAATTATAGCGGTTACGATGCTGCCGTTGGGCAATTGTTGGTGGACATCCAGCCGTATTTTCGTTGCTATCGCTGCAAAGTTTCTGTTGCTTCTAGTATCGGATATTATAAAGCATTCGAAGTATTAGTTAATAGCTGACCCATTTTTGTATTTAAAACGAAGATAACTAAAATAGAATACTCGTCCGTAGATCTTGGCCTGCTCTAACTGATCTTTCTATGTGTTCCCTTTCTTGTTAAATTGATGAATTGATTCGTACTCGACTTCTGTAGACGAACGTTTACCGATTTTAACAACAGTCAAGTACTTTTTGGTTTGGATCCATGGATTTACGTGGTGTCAAACAGACTATTCAGGACAGCAAGAAAGGGCTATCACAACGGAACAAGCTATCAGAGTGTTGGATAGCCCATCTGCTTGTTAACTTTTGCTGCTGCTATTCTGTTTCTGTTACTCAGCCGTTAGTTTCTACTTGTTGCGTTGTTCTACCCCAGCTGTACGGCCAGAAACGCCAAGTGCGATTTGACGGTCGTAGTTAACTGTTTACTACTGCTTGGTCCCTCCTCGATTCATTCTTTCCTTTTGCCGTCAATACTACGAGACAAAACACGCTACAATATTTTAGTCAACTGTGCGCCAGAAGGCTCCCGTTTCTCGTGGCTGGGGTTGTACGGACGCGTTTACAAGCTCGAGGCTTTGTGCGGGTCTGTGAACAACGCGAACTTCCCCAGCCGTTGCAGCCTTTAATAAGCCATTGCCACTTTTTGGGCGCAATGAATTCCACTCGCTTTAACAGCCAACAACGACCAGTGGCTTACTGATGTTGGTGTCATTTCTTTTATACAATAACCCCAGCTGCTTGAGTTGCGATTTACTTCCTAGTACTCGGGCGTTTCCACGTCGACTGCTAGTTCAGTTTGCCGTCGGCTTTTGAAACTTCGCGTATTCATTCACACGGTCGTGCTATCAATTGCTGATTGATGATAGCGAGCCTCTCTTTCGTCGATATCTCCACACGCCATCACCCTCTCTAGATATTCGATGTCTATGTGTCCTTCTCAAGTCGTGGCGGAAACTTTGAAATGAACAGGTTTTCGATCCCTGCCTTTGCCTTGGTATCACCATCGGAGGCGCGTCTCGGCCTTCTCACGCACTGGCGCTTCTACCAACATCCGCAGCACTACCGATTGCCGTGTCTATCGCATTCGACTCTAGTACTTTTCTTCTTTTGCGCCTTTATTTTCCTATTTCTGGCTGTTTCAGACAGTGTAACTCGACAGCTGATCACTGATAGGCCGCCGGTATAGCTGTTGATTAATCAATGATGGCTTTATCCACAACACTGACGATGGTAGCAGACAATCTCCTTTGCTAAGCTGCCACGCACCCGTTACAACGCTAGCGGCTGATGGATGCTTCTCAAACTATCACTATTATCTCAAGTTCCCGCTAGTCGTTGTCGTCCTCTAAAAGCTCTGGCAGTGTTTGCTATTCCGGGCTAAAATCTGTTGCTCTCCTTTTCGCTAACGGTGGTGATCAGTACTCGTTTTTGAGTAATATGATTACTTCTTTAGTCGTTATTGACAAGCTGAGATGTTCCGAAACACATACTAACCGGTTGGCTACAGATTCTACAACGATTTCATATCTCTATTGATCAGTATTCTCAGCCGTTTGTCTGGCGTGTTTCGTAGTAGCATCAACCCCAGTTTGTTGGTCGTATGTCCTGGTTGGAATTGCCTTACGAATGATGATGGCAGTGGTGGGAAATATCCTTGCCGCGACACTGGTAAAATCAACAGACGGTAACCGTTTGACGCGGCGGACTGAGGACGTACACTGTGTATGCGTCTATATGAATGAACGATAGACTGTAGTGAGCCGTAGACTCAAAGCGACCACCGTCCCGCGCTTTGGTCCCACATCACTGGCTTCTCGCGCTCAGACTGTCGGCTACGATAGCAAGTTACCGTTATGCTCCGGCTTAATCATGACTGATTCATTCCGTAGGGCTGGCATCTATTTGTTCGTGGATGCGTAGGAGACTGAGTCAGTTAATCAAGTAGTCGGCCAGCACGATAAACGAAGGACGCAATGCAGGTTTGCGGTTTATTTGTCACAGACTTTTTAGCGATAAGCAAATGACTCCTCACTGCTCATCAGTCGTCCAAAAAATTTATTTTTGGTCAGGGCGACGTCGACGGCGAAAACAATAGTAATCGGACTGGGTGCTTCTGTTAACTGACTTAGTCGGTCATTCTGTCGTCACTCACTGATTCACGTCAGTGGAAGCCGTACTTTGGCCCATACCCGATCTAGCTTACTGTTCTCAACTCGAGTGCCGACTCAAACATTGTGGAAGAATTGTGGCATGCATCACCCATCGAATCATTAGATTATACTAGTAGACATCTTCACGACGCTCATCGTTTTATCCATTGTATTGCATCTTTGAATTTTCATTATCATATCCAACGTGGGCATCACTGCACCATCAGCTCGAACTCTACCAGGCAACGACACAGTTACGACTGCAGCGTCAGCCCCAACCAACGCCGGCCGATCACTCATAAATACCAACTAAACGCTAAGCTAAGTTCAGTCCTGGCAAAAATCACACCAGTAAGAACCAAGTGCCGAGTACCCACTGGCCCACGAAGCCGATGAAGGTAACTAAACGATGCTTAGATTAATTCCTGCCTGATGTTCGCATCTCACTGCTGCAGTCCGGCGGCAGCGAGTCCCTGTTCGTCAATGGCTCTCCGGTAACGACTCTCGCTTGTCCTGCGTCGCTCACCAGCTGACGACACTCACAGACATTCATACATGCAATAGCAGCGGCAGCAGCGACGGCACTAGCACTGTTACCCACAGCGCACGCACCGATTGTGCTGGCATCAGCGGCGGCAACAGCTTACAACGTACATGACGGCGGCGCAGGCCCCCATCGAAAGCGAGAGTTGAGGGCCCCCGCTAAAACGGCGGGCAGATGACGCGCGGCCAGGCAGCCTGGCTAGCGATAACCACCGATGTTAACAATAGTTATTGCCCACTTTACCAACCTA